GGCTGTCCGTCCTCGAGACATTTTTCGGGTTTAAAATGAAAAGTGCCTTTTTGAGGGGTTTTCCGGATTAATTCCGGAATACGATGATTTGCAGCTATGGGAGCGGCATCAAATTGTAGAGCTTGTTATTCCACATCGAACCATACCTCGCACGGCCCACCGGCAGTCCGACTTCATGGACATGTTGGACTGCCGGACCCGAAAAACCTGGTTTTTCAAGGTTTTTCCGGCATAATTCCGGAATACGGTAATTTGAGGGCCTGAGAGTGGCACTAGATTGTAGATCTCATCATTGCGCGTCGAACCATACCCTAAATGTCTTTTTGGCAGTCCGATTTCGAGGAAATGTTGGACTGCCGGATTTGAACCCGCATCTGCAAAATGAAAAAAACGGGTTTTTGAGGACCGGGTCGCGACCCTTTAGGGGCCCATATCTCGGGGCCCCAATAGCGCACCGGGACGGTAGATAGCTCATTTTGTAGTTCAGGCTTGGGGCTATCTGGTGGTGTATCAGTCTTCTTAAGGAAACGTAGGAGGCCGGAGATCCTGGACTGCCGAGTTTGAGGCCATTTTGCAGGAGCACATTTTACGAGTTTCTTCTAAAAATCATATCTCGATAATTTCTCGATGGATTTGGCTCAAATTTTCGGAGGAGATGGACCGTAAGCTGTTCTATCCAAGGCATACAAAAGCGAAGCGTCGGCAGTCCGATTTAGGAGGTAAAAAAGAGCGATTTACATTCTGCAGACATTTTGCAGGCGCGGGTTCAAATCCGTCAGTCCAACATTTCCTCGAAGTCGGACTGCCAAAGGACTGTGGGTATGGTTCGACGCGCAATGATCAGATCTATAATCTAGTGCCACTTTCGGGCCCTCAAATTACCGTATCCCGGAATTATGCCGGAAAAACCTTGAAAAACCAGGTGTTCCGGTCCGGCAGTCCAACATGTCCATGAAGTCGGACTGCCGGTGGGCCTTGTGAGGTATGGTTCGACGCGCAATGACGAGTCTACAATTGGGTGCCACTCTCAGGCCCTCAAATTACCGTATTCCGGAATTATGCCGGAAAAACATCGAAAAACTAGTTTTTCCGTTCCGTCAGTCCAACATGTCATGAAGTCGGACTGCCGAAGGGTCATCTTGGGTATGGTTCGGCGCGCAATGACGATATCTACAATCTGGTGTCACTTTCAGCGTGAAAATTAACATATTCGAAAATAGAGCGGAAACCCCTATAAATTAACCCTATTTCCATATATCCGTTCGAACAGCTCACAGATAACGGACGGCCGACGGGACATATAGGGTATGGGTCGACGCGGAACAACGAGATCCACAATTTTGCGTCACTCCCAGACCGTGAAAGTCCTTGGAATCTATCTAATTGCGCCATCAAATGGTAACCCAAGTATGGCGGCGTAGCCGTCCCGCCAAAAATCGCTTTTTCCCTTCCAAAATGGACTGCCGGACTCCCGGAAAATGGACTGCCGGGATTTTGCCGCTGCAAAACCTTGCCCACCCCTGGGCTGAACTCGTTATTTAGCTGTCCACACCTAGCCGAAGAAAGGGAGTCGATGCTTAGGGAGGCCTAAGCCTAAGCCTAAGCCTAAGCCTAAGCCTAAGCATACGACGCGAACATCACCACGACCAATTGTTTCGATCGGTGGTCGGGGCCTCCAATTGAATAGATGGCCCACCAATGGCCAATTTGAGGGTCCACCCGGGGGTCGTCGAAACCAGGTTATCTTGTCATGCTCCCTCTCGGAATTCCGACGAGTATCCTGCAACGCACTCCACTTGACCCATCACCCCCCACTCTCAATTTAATCTGATAAAGCATCGAGAGGAGGGGATTTGATGCCAAAATGCCGACAGCCAAATAGTGAACGCCAAAACACCGGAAAAAAATGCATAAAAAGATGTTAAAGGACCGAGAAAGCCTAACAGTTTGCTGGCAAAACCCAGTGAGTATCCATAGGCAAATATCTATAGTCCTGACGTTCCGGTCCTTTTAAAGATGTATTAATTGAAAAAAAAACAGTCTTATCTTCGATAACCCATCAAAAAATACCAAAAATCAGTCGCGAATCACTCGGCGACATCCAGGGCGGTAGGGAGAGGCCATTGTATCGCCTTTTCGAACCCACGATCACCCCCCGAAGAAAGCCACCAAATAAAGGAGAGGGAAGCCAGGAGCAGTGGAGGGGAAAAGGCTCTCTATTTTCCACCTTTTTCGCGTCCCAACCCATTTGCATACGTTTACTCGGAAGGGCGGCGAGGGGGTTTTCAACGGAGAATAGGGTGATTCGAAAACGATTGAGATAGAGCGAGAGAACGATCGAGGAAAAGGTGAGGGTGAGGGAAGGAGAGCAAGAAGGGGAGTGCGATGAGCCAGAGAATGAGAGTGAGCGAGAGAGAGAGAACGGGGGGAGAGCGACGGAGTGCGAGAGGACGTAATAGAGTGAGAGAGCGGAAATGCTAGCGTTCCAGAGTGCGAAAGAGAGAGAGAGATGCTGCGCGTACCTTTCAAATGCTTCAGATCCTAAATGATCATTGCTAGCTTGCCCTAACATCTATTACCTCCTTAAAAAGTTTGAGTACAATCTTCAAAATCTGAGGGTCGGCCCGGCGCATGCCGACGGAGGTGATGCAAATCAAATCTGGGAAAGGCCCTCGAGAGGAGGAAGAGGAGGAGGAGACAGACTGATACGGGACACTCCTCTACACCCTCCTCTACTCGGCCTTTTTCAGAGTAGAAGAGGTCCCTTCCCCTGCTCTTCTAAAAATGGGATGAAGTGTCTCCTGATTGGGTGCGTACTGCTGCCCCTTCTGAACACACGTTTTTCGCGGCGCCCTCGAGAAAAACTACTTTTGATTAGGCTGAAGTGGGTGGATGGGGGTTGGGGGATCCAAAGATTCAGCAAAGCAAAAAGGGCCTGATCCTGAACGACCTTAAAATTGTTTTAAGGGACCAGGCAGTAATAAATATAAATTATTGCTATGAATTCTGGATGGATTTCCCCTGCCCCTCGAGATTGTCCGTTAAACCGCGGCAAGGATTCCATGACGTAATCGATTAAAGCTGGTTTCTCTTGGGTCAGTTAAATTGGTTAAAGAACAAACCGATTTCTAGCCAAATTCGCTTTTGCCTTCTACGCGGCTATCGAGACCTAGTGAGGCAAAATGGCGATTCCGCGCTTGCTACTCCCTTTAAAGGGACGAAAAGGCGTGATTTTGGGCGTATCTAGTTATAGGTTCTCCATAGATGTTTCCGCGTCCGCTACGCGCTATGCGCATCTCGTTTATTCCAAAAGCAAAAGCGGGTGGGGTCGATCCCGGGTAGTTCGCCTGACATTCTAATGCACTACCACTCGGCCACAAGCTAGCTCTGAAATAAAATTTGACCTAAACCCCCAAAGAATTCAGACAAGTCGTAAACTCGCGTTTGTAGCGGTTGGAAGGAGTGTTTGTGCATTGTTGTTGGATGGAATATGGCCATAAGGGAGTTCCATCCCTTCGATCAATCACAGCCATATGGCCATGGACAAGCCAACCGAGGGACCACGGAGGATTTCGAGGGAACGGCAGTAAGGGACAGATTGGACGATACGTAATTCTGATGGATCGGGGGGGGCAATGGGATATCGGTAAATGAGTCGCTTGATGAATACCGGGCTTAAATAAGAATTTAAATGGAGAGAGATAGTGAGAGGGAGAGAAGGAGAGACACCTTTAGTACCCTTTCAAGGTAATAGGAGGCCGCAAAATGGTCTCTCTCTATCTCTCGACCTTTTTCATTTGTGCGCCACCCGGCGCCTCTTCCTCGTGAGAAGCTAGCCATTTGCAGCTGTCCACTTCTGAACCCACTTGAAACACCCATCAACTGAGCCTCTTTTTTGCTTGGGTCCAATTAGATGTTGATTGTATCATCGTGTTCATCCACTTCATCTTGCCCCCTAATCCCTTTCAGGGGGACAGACAGCTGCCAGCTGCAGCCAGTCGCAGATGAGAGACCACTTCACCTAGCTCTTTATTAATTGGTGCCAGAATTGGCAATTTTTGCAGGCCGGACACCGAAAAAATTGGCGAAAAGTCGTCTTTTGCTTCGCCAAAATAAATGAAAAATGGTTAAATACGATTACTTGGTTTTGAACTGCATTGAATGGAAAATTTGGGGTGTGGAACATACCAAAAAATGCTAAAAACGCCACCCTTTATTACAAGAATACCTTAATAGAGCTTAGTATAGAATTTCTTCTACCATTAGATGTTAAACAAATTTAAGCGATAAGGTTAGCATAAAAAACGGGATACAAAAAAGGATGTCATGTAATTCGCCCATTTTCGCTCGAATAAACAAACATTTCTGGCTCCCTGCTATTTTTTGCAACGAAAACCGCTCTGAATCGATATTGGCCGCTCTCCGATACAGCAACATTTTTTCACCGAAGTTGTTGCGGTTTAATGTAAACATGTAAAAAAGTCCTCTGAATATATTGAAATTGTGCGATTTTTTTATCTTAGGCTTGGCTTTCTGATTTTCTCTCTCTCTCTCTCGCTCTCTCTCTCTCACTCTCTCTCTCTCTCTCTCTCGCGCGCGCCCCGCTCCGACTGACCTAGATGATAGTTATCTCTGTCTCCCCAGACCGCAAAATTGACCTTGCTGCCCATCTCCGGCCATTTTTTGTGCTTTTTCACGTCAGCTGTAAAACGTTGTAGCTTCTTCAATACGCTTAACTAATTGGCGTTCACTAATTTTTTATTCCGCCCTTTCTAGCTTTTAATTTTATTATTTTAGCTTCTACCGAGCCATCAAAAGACAAAATGACCGCCAAGCACGGTAATTTATTCTGGGATATTTATTAACTTGCGTGGAAGCGCGAAAATCTATCTATGCAATTGACTGATTGTCGAAATTGCTGTTTTTAGCAACGCCGACATATTTGGTGGTTGGTGGACTATCGGAAATCGGTTCGGCTGTCGTGGCGAAATTACTACAAAATGGGGATAGCAAGGTAGATACATTACTACGTCGACAAAATCAATAAATATTCTCGATCGTGATTCTCGACACCTACAATTCGACGACACCCACCTACAATGCGAGTATTCAGAAGAGTGATAGGTAGTTAATCCTGAAATGTTCTCTGCTAGCTTGCCCATTGTCTCGGGCTCGCCTCAGTTCATAACCTCCGGAGTCCATTCTCAAATGATCTCTGCTAGCTTTCCTGGTTGCGGGGAGTGAGCACACTCCTAAATTGCCTCAGCTAGCCTGCCCTGGCTTGACGACATTCCGAAATGATCTTTGCTAGCTTACCCATCTTTATAATCACCACAAGAATAACGGGAATTTTACGATTTCCAGAATTTCCATCGAATTCGGCGCCCGTCACAACGAGGGGCTGGTCGAGAGGATATTGCGCGAATACAAGGTAGCATTTTGAAATTATGCAATCGGTTATGTCCTGAAATACCTATCGAATGGCGGAGTTTCCTTACCGCTCCACTTCAGGTCACCCGTATCATCGACGCGGCCACGTGTTTTCCCGATCAAACCCTGAGCCCAGTCGAGCAGGCCCGACAGTCCATTTCCGGTACGTTGCATTCCAGAATTTGCCGAGGTCGCCCAAAAAATCGTAGAAAGTGCAGAATGTCAAAAACCTAACAATGTTTGTCAAAATTTGAGACTTGACCCACATGATGGACGCCATCAGGAAGTACGACGGCTTGGAGTCGTTCGTTTTGATTAGCTCGCAAGAGGTCGGTGTTTCTCTCTTTCTCTTTCTCTCTGTCTCTATCTCTCTCTCTCTCTCTCTCTCTCTCTCTAATTAGTCCTTCTAGGTGTACGGCAACCTGCCCATCCAAACCGAAGAAACGCCACTGGCCCCGAAAAATTTTGCTGGAGCCGCGGCCATGGCTGCTGAAGCGATGTTACATTCGTTAGTTGGATTGTCCCGCAAATTAAGCTATTATATTTTTACAGGTATGTAGTATCATACCGCCTACCTATGGCCATTGCCCGAGTCGCGAATGGGGCACACACTAATAGAGAACGAGTGGAGCATAAGTTTGAGACGGGTGCGTAATAATCGATACAATAAAAACTCCGAATTTTTTATCGGTTAAAGGGACTGGCAAGCACCGGAACGACCCCTTTAGTCAACTAGGTCTCGACAGTGTTGATTCTGGGGTTCTTAACCGCTTTAAGCGGCCAATAAATGCCAGAATCAACCCCTACCTCGACTAGGACTCGACAAGCACGGAATACAACGAAACACATACCCATTTTACTGCTAGGCCTTCTTTTAAATGAACTTGGAAATCCGAAAATCCGCCACCACCCATCCATAGGTCTCGACTGTTCTCTGATTTTACACTTCCCAGTTCCTTTAAACTAGCCTTAGCGCTGTCATCCCAAAAAAAAGCAAGTTCGGCAAGTTCAGAGACCTTGCTGCTTTCCTCAAATATCACCTTCATGAGCAACATCAACTATTTTCAGAGAATAAGCTGAACTTGATCAACATGAGCTCGGTGGCCGAGGCGCTGCTGCTCATCTCCAACCACGCGAGCGGGGCTAACGTCTACAATATTGGAGGGGAATACGATTGGACGAGAGAGGAATGGGTGACTAAGGTGAGAGAAGAGAAAGAGAAGAGAGTGAGAGAAGGCCGAGCGAGAGAGAGAAAGACCAAGATTAACTTTGCCTTCAGAAAACCCCCACCGCCAAGTCGAGCCTCGACACCGAGAAGCTACGATCACTAGGCTGGAAATCGGCCAACGAGGTGCCGATGGAGACCCAGGAGATGCCCACCACCTCCCTAACGCCGAAATTCCTGGTCTACGGAGCCGATGGATGGATTGGACAGCAATTCTGCACACTTCTCGAGCAGCAGGGTATTCGTTATGAGGTGAGACAAGAGAGAGATAGAGAGAGAAAGAGAGAGAGAGAGAGTGAGAGAGAGGAGGTAGGCAAAAACTGTCCTTTAGAAAGGCCAAGCGCGCCCTGGTGGTGATGTCGACCGGAATGTTGAAGCGGAATTGGTTGCGGTGGCCCCGACACATGTTGTCTCGATGGTTGGAAGAACGCATGGACCGGGTAAGGCTTGTAAAGCGACAAAATCTCAACTGCTATTCTATGTAGAAGCCAGAATTTGAGCTTAACGAACGGCTTTTGCAAGCAATTGGAGGCCTAGTCGAGCCAAGGGGACGTTTTTACGGTTCCTAGCGCCTGGCAGTGTTTGTTGAATACCCCTTTCAGGCGTGAATAGCATCGGCTACCTGGAGGGCGGGCCAGATCGGCTGAAGTTGAACATGCGCGACAACCTGTTCGCTCCATGGATTCTGGGGTCGATTTGCGATCGGCTGAAGGTATTTTAAAACCAAAACAAAGCCAAAAATTGTCGAAAAACCGTAGTTATACGTGGTGTACACATTGCGGTCCGCATACCTAATTTTTTGTGTTTTTACTTAATTTTATATATTCCCAGATCCATTTTACCTACCTGGGCACTGGCTGCCTTTTCAAGTATGATGCTGAACATCCCATTGGAGGCCAGGGGTATACTGTAAGACCATTTTTCTTGCCATCATCATATATTTAGGAAGAAGACCTCGGAAACTACGATGGCACGTCGTATTCGGCTGTTAAGGTTCGAGTCTTTCCAAAATATTTTTTTGGAGGAGCTGAGCCGCAACGCATGGATCTCGCGGCGCTTTTTCTCGCCGCCGTCTCCCACAATTTTGCATCTATTTCTATATTCATAGATTCATAGATCTTCACCGACCGCCTCCTTCGCCAATTCTCCACCACCCTACAATGCCGCATCCGACTGCCCATCAACTTCGAGAAGGACAGCAGGAATTTGGTGGCAAAGGTATGTCATTTTTGTCGTGAAAACTCGAATTTTGTAGTTGATGTCATTCAAAAAGGTGCTGGACATCCCGAATTCCGTCACGATCCTGCCGGATTGCCTGCCGATTCTCTTGGAATTGGCCTTGAAAAGGTATGGAGAAGGAGATGACGAAAGAGAGAGAGAGAGCGAGAGAGAGAGAGTGATAGAGAGAGAGTGAGAGAGTGAGAGTGAAAGACGATAGAACTTCAAATTCACTTTTTCAGGGAAACCGGTGTGCTAAACCTAGTGAACCCAGGCCCGATCCGTTTCCCTCAAGTCTCGGCCCTTTACCGGGATATCGTCGAGCCAGGCTGGTGCTACGAAGTGCTCGAGGCTGACGTGGGTTTTTTAGAACTTGAATGGTTAGAGACTAGGAGGTAAAAGATGCAAAAAACAACAAACAAAAACTTTTTGAAGGCTAGAACCAATATCTACGATTTTAGCCTGAGTCTGAGCTGGTACGTACCCGTTCGCACTGCACCCTCGACACGTCAAAACTCCAAAATATCTACCCAAATATTCGACCGGCGATCGATGGGATTCGGGAGGCGATACGGTACGTTTTGGGAAGATTAAAAAGGCAAAAACCGCAACGCAGTCGTCGTGCGATGTCGTTGATTTCCGCAACGTTTAACAAACTAGTTTCCGTTTGTGCAACTCGCCTATTTACGAGCCGGAAAATTACCTTGATCCTAAAATAGGCACTTCTTTCTTTCAGGATCATCGGCGGGAAACACGAGCGAAACGGCCATGCCTAATTCTTCCCAGTTGTTATTTAATGCTGTCATTTGTTGTGCACCATACTATTCCATTTTTGGAGCAAATCTTTATGAGTATCAATATGTACACGTCTTAAAAAAATACATAGGTAAATTCTTGGTTGGGATAAAAGGATTGGTCATGTAACGAGGTCTTCAAGGCAAGGCTATAGATTTTCCGAACGTATGGACGTGGGGCGTTGCGTGTCGCAAGGATATGTGAAAAATCCAGAGTTATACCTTTCAAGGGACTGGGAATTTGACATGTGACTCATCTCAGGAAATACCTGTAATGATATGGATCAACGGAATGAAAGGGCACAAAAATACAAAAAATACACGAAAAAAAGAAAACATGGTATTTAATTAAGTTCGTACATAGTATAAGATCGGACATGAAACATTCCATACCCCTCGGATACCTATGCCTTATATGCGGGATTGTCAAACGAAGCATTCTGATGTGCCAATAGCAGTGGTCCCTCCTTCTTCTCCAACTGAAACCCGTAGTCGATCTTGTTGACGATGAACAGGATCACAATCCGCCATGCAGCCACCGTATCCCATTTCTGGGATTTGATCGGAAATTGGCGCGCCAATTGGCATAACGCCTCCGAGACGCGCGACCAGTAGATGCGGTCGAAGCATTCTGAAAAAGTTGATTTTTCCTTTTTTTGAAAATTTAATTTTTCCATCTAAAAAGTTATTGTAAGGCTGCACTTAACCATAGCTAAAAGGCGATTAAACGAACCTTTCTCTTCGAGCACTCCATTCTGACTTGCATAGCTGACGAGCAGCGGCCCAAGGGAATCGTCTAGAAAAGACGAAAATCTTAGTCCGTTTAAAAACGCCTTTTTTTACGTAACTCACGCTTTTTGTAAGTTTTGGCCTAAATATATTTATTGTTAAACCGTTCTACCATTTAAAATAAATCTCTAGATTTTATTTGGATATTGTAACTTTGGAATATCTTTTAATTCTTTTCGTTTTTCTTAAAATTTAATTTATTTAAAAATTCAATAGAAGTCTCAATTTATAAGTTGCGCACCTTTAAATTGCCATTTAAAGTATAATTTTGCCGTTAAAAACCGCATAAAAATCTTACCTAATGCCTCGACGGACTCGACGGCCATCTCCAGCACGTCGGTAATGGCTGCCGCGTGCGCTTTCGCCAATTCTTGATGACGCTCGAATTGCAATCTAAAAAATATTGACCTCATAAAACATGATAAGCAGCATAATAATTAATATAAAAAAATCATCATTTTTCTGTCACCTACCGTAGTTGTGGATCCCGCCGCGCCACATAATCGAGGGCCCACTCGCCGGCCGTCTGCTTCTGCGTGTTTCGCCAGCACTCATAACCCGTCTGGAATGTCAGTGCGTAATTGGATATGCCTTACTATCTTTTTTATACCCTCAGAATTAAGTTTTAGGTAATATTTTTAGTAGACAACTCATTATCTATGATAGAGCCTCGATAATTAATTAGGTCGCAGTTAATAATGACCAGCATAAATCATTTCCGCTGCAAATTCGAGCCCCCGTTCTCGCATTAATAGATTCCTAGATCTCGGACCGGGGGTTCAGGATTGAATATCACAAATTCTTTTGCTTCTCTCTCCCCATCGCCCACCCAATATGGCTACGTAGCCATATCTGATGGCCATGTCTCGTGCCGGACAAGAGTTCGAAGGAAACATAAGGAAGCTGCTAAAGGGGAATTAGAATCTTTGATATCTCTCTTTCTCTCTCTCCCTCTCTCTCTCCCTCTCTGTAATTTCTAAGGCGATTTTAGAGGGAAATCGAAAAACTTGTGAAATGGCACTGCGGCTAAATGGTAGTGGGCTAGCCTTCCACGCTGATGACCAGACCAGACCAGACCAGACCGAAAATTTTTGCTTTTTTTGGCAAAAACTTCTGTATTTGAAATTTAAGATGGATTAAAGAGCCGATTGGATTTTTTCTGAAGGATTCGTGAGAAATAATATTTCGATGGGTCCTTTAAGCAAGAGAGAGCGAGCGAGAGAGCGAGAGAGAGAGCGAGAGAGAGAGAGAACCTCGAGCGAGATGCGAGATTACCCACTCTATTTTCCACCTAATTCCACGCGACTACACCCGATTGCTCTTTACACCTCGGCGTCACTAGTAGCTGACTGGCCAATTTGCAACTCTAGAAATTGGGTAGAGAAGACGTGTGAGATCTCTCAGGTTCTTCTTCTTTTTCTCGTGGGGAATTCCCCAGAATACCCATCCCCCCCTCTAGAAGACTTCATTATGGCATCTGACTCGAAAAGGGGAGAGGTCCTCTCTGAGGTCATCACTCCGTGAAAACAACCGCCGATTTCAGTTAAAAGAGGCGCAAAAAGGACGCGGAATGCGATTTTCCGGAATACACCTACGGTCACAAGCTAGCCAGGTTTTTGAGGCTCTTGAAAAGGGTGAAAAACGGAAAGGGACAGCGTAACTTTACTTAACTTTAGCTTTGCCCGGCTATTAAATGCAAGAATTTGGATAAGCCAGAAGAATCTATAGTCAGGGCCTTGCCAGATCCTTTAATTATTTGTCCCCTTGATTTATATGCATCTAGTCGCATATTCTTACGTCACCAAGCAGGGCACATCATTTTCTTTGAAGCCGCTGCATGCGCAAAATCTCCTCGAGAAGGGGGGGGGGGGCAATTGGTCTCATTCGAGTGCCCAACCAAACACGCAAATCGGGACCCAAAAAAGATGAGCTTGAAAAAACACACGCAAGCTCGCACTACTCTCGCACAAATGTGTCGTAGCTGTCGAGACCTAGTCCTTAGATTATGGTTCTACGATTTCTGGAGCCTCTAAAGGACTGGGAAGCGCTAAAATTTACTCCAAGTAACTACTAGGTCTCGACAGCCACGTGTGCCTCCCAAATATCCATAAAATCCTTTAAAAAAATCTGGTATTTGTCGAGTCTTAGTGAGGAAAGGGGTCGATTCTTGGGTTCCTAGCCGCTTTAGAGGCCCAAATTACCCTCTCGTTGTTATCGGGACACAGTGCGGAATAGGGGTCGATTCTAGGGTTTCCAGGCCCTTTAACCACGCAAATTTTCGCGTACTAGACTATACCTTTTGCGCATTTCAAACTCTTTGGATATTCCGCGGCATCCCTGGAGTCGGCTAGGAATCAAAAAACACCGCCCACCCACCCCCGAAAATCCAGACACCTGAGCGCCGCGTATGTCAACAATTGATTATTCTGGCTCGCCCGGGGACAAACACGTGCTTTTTGAAATTTGAGGCGTCAGCCAAAAACCCGAAAAGCTGTAGCTGCTCACCTTGATCAACTTGTGCTGTCGAGGGGTGAGGGAGATGCCAGTGAAGGATACTGTCAGATGGGCAATGTCGGAGAAATCGGATAGGCGACGCGAGGATCTGGAAATGGGTTGGTTAGGCTTAGGCTTAGGCGTCCAGGGTTTTCTCAAAAAGCAAAAACTCGATCCTGGGTTCGAACCCGGGTCATTTTCTGATAGGCGCACACGATCAATTGGCCACCATCGAACATAGAGCAAACTAGCAAAGATTGTCTGACCTCCTCGGAACGGCGTGTATCGCCGTCGACATGGCCATCATCATCGTGTCGGCGATCGCCGAGCGTGCGTCCATTTTCTGGAATTTCACACATTTTTTGGTAAGTGCAAAAATCCACCCCAGATTTCTACTAGGTCTCAACGTGGAGCCAATAGATTTTAAAGGAATTGGAAGCATAATCCATAAGAGAAAAGCAAGAGATAAAAAAATATACCACAAACGGCGTCCTGATTCCAACAATCATCCTATTCAACACCGGCAATAGTTTTGGGTTTCGTACGTGCCGATGCTGTTGTTTATCTACCGCCAGCGTCGCCTCGGCGTTCAGCAATAGTAGCGAAATTTTGCGCGTGGGTTAACGAGAATATTGTGTGGTGTTAGAAGAAGCCATTGCGAGCAAAGGGCCCCAAAAAGGGGCGTGGCTTAGCCAGGCCAGGGAGAGGTCGCAAAAGGGAGGATGAAGCCGGATGAAGCCTATGTCATCTACAGCCATGTCAAATTTCCAGACCTCTAGCGGCTTTGGTCTAGAAATCCGAGTCGAGAATATCGAGCAGGACCCGGTTTTTGGCGGTAATGAGAGCATGAGACTCCCCTCCACCTTCTATAACGCACTAAAAAATTGGGAAAGACGACTTTGTCTGGGTGATATCACGGGGTATATTTAGAATGACAGAGATCTTTCCCGTTGTGAAGCCCTTTGCTTTCCTAATGGATTACCGCTCCTTCCCGGCCTTTTAAGCGAGCGGGCGCGTTGCTTAACGGAAACCAGGACCAAAACGATCGCTAGTATGCGTTTCCGGCCCCTTTAAAAGCCTTCCAAACTCATTAAAAAGTTACCTATTCCCTACAGTACGCGGCGAGTTCGAGCTGTTCGGGCCAGCGAGAGATGGCGAGCGAGAGGGAGACCGTGAGCCAAAAAAATTCAAAAAAGCGCTTATTTAGGCTATTCAGGGCACCCACGATTTCACCTCCCAAATAGTGGCCGCCAAAAACAGCGGAGCTCCGTAATTTTGTGGGCTCGGGTACGGCAGGCTCCTCTGCACGACCACGCTGCTGGCACCGCCTGCCTAATGAAATCCACCGGCGAAAAAGTGGGGGGTGAGTTGGGCTGGATTTATTTGAGGTGGGAGGGAGCCGGTAGAAATGAGGGGGAAAGGGTTTGGGGAGACGATCCGGCCGCCCGTAATTAGGTGCTTTTCCAAAACCCTATAATCCCCCCATCCCTCGGGATCTACAGAAACTGAAAAGACCCAATTACCGGAAGACACCCCCTCAAAAACTCGGGATAATAGAGGGGATGGCGTTTTCCCAAGTTTTTGAGCCAAGAAATTCTTTAGAAAATTGAGAGCCTTTTGAGGCGATACCGTAAGCAGGTGGAAATTTTTGACAATCACCCGAGAGAGGTCACATGTGTGTTTTCTGTGTTGTCTCCAAAATGTTACTCCGGGGTATACGGTGGCCGGTGCAAAACAGCATAATACAGGTGCTTTTCGAGGGATTTTGCAAACGAAGTTAAAGGGCAAAAATGACCCCCACGAGCTGGAGCCGTTCGGCTGTAGCCGACCAAATACCGAAATTAATATTTCTAAACGAAAAAGGATTCATTAAGGTAGTCTGGCTGCTACATACTACCGGGAAGGCTTGACAGTAAGCCGTGCTTGGAATTTAGAAAATGAAAATTTTATGACTAAATTAGCTAAGGATTTCGAGAAGGTGTAGAATGCGGACAACTTTCATACCAAAAACTTTGATCAAGAAGCGACAGCGAAATGCCGACAAAAAAAAACAGATTTTGCCATAAAAATCTCAAAACGTTTTTGTTGTCGGCATCCCAAGCATCTGCCGGTATTTTTGCACCCGAATAAAACCTATTCGAAACACGGGAAATTTTCCTCAAGAGAAGATATCGAAATGCCGACAAAAGCACCCAACCTCCTACAAGTCTCAAAATCTTTGTCTTTCAGCATCTGTCGGTATTTCTTTGAAACGTTCAAAAATCTGTGGAGAAAAATGCAAAAACAGCCGTTTCAGCCAGCGCCAGACAACAAGCGCGACCAATGGCCCACCATATATATATCTGGCTCTCTATCTGTCTCTCTCGCTCTCTCGCCGCTTGACACACCCTAAAACGCGACACCCCCCGTATTTTTCGAGGAATACATTCGCGGCCCGGCCATTTTAAGGGTGGTGAGGCGGAAAATTTTTGAGCGTGGGGAAAGGCGGCCGAAGGTGGGGGAGGCTATAGAAAGAGGGGATGTTTTCTGTATACATATTTACGCCGAAATAAACCTGCAGCAAGCAAGAAACACATTTTGTTACAAAAAAGGCCACTCGAAATGTCATGTTGACAAAAAAGCTGCAAATAAGCGCTAATAAATCCGAGCTCGCGCACATTAGAGGAACTGAAGGGACCAGCAAGGGATCGGGGTGGATTTAAGATTCAATTTTCAGCAACCATGACACGCGACGCAAGCCTTAAAATTGACGTCATCGATTACGCCATGAAAAGGTGGTGGACGCGTTCCGACTCTGCCGACTTTAGAGACTGCCAAGGCACGATAATAGATAGCCAAAAGAGCGCCGTAACCGATTACGTTATTCGACTCGACGACGATGACGCTTGGGAGTTGGTCGTTCGGCAAAAAATCCTGTAAATCGGTAGTCGAGAAAATCCATAGCCGAGCCTTGCCGGCCCCTTTAGGGCTCTAGAAGTTTCAAATTCTACTCCGAATTCTCAACGAGGTGTCGACACCCGCGTGAACCAAATGAGCCGATTTTTATCGAGCCTATGACCGCCGCTTTTGCGCTTGCAAGCGCCCCTACACCTAATCGACGTATGGGGGTCGTTTATGGGCGTCGGTCGATCAAGGGGTCGATTTTCCCACTGCTCAGTCCCTTTAAAGTTTCAAAAATTGGGGGTAAGAAATCCGGAACCTCTTCTTGGTCGTGGCAAAGCTTGAAAGATGAGAGTATATCCATGGATGTCAGATTTCAGACACCCCCCGGCTGCGTCTTCTTCTCACCCTTATTTTGCAGGTATTGGGGATGTGCGGGATGGGGGGGCTGTCAGCAAGAGCCCGAATTTCTTCTGTCGCTGTCAACACTGGCCGGTAAACAATTCCAAAGTCTACAGATCAAAAAAATCAAATGTAAGACTAGAATGTAGCCTAACGTCAAAAATTTTGACTTCAAAGGTTAAAAACGGGACTCTGAATCTTTTTAGGTTATGGTTTCTTCGCGGTTTTGCGCGACAAGCACGAGCCTGAAAAGCACAGCAATTTGTGTGGAGATCGCGACGCGGGACGCCTGGGAGGAATCACTCCAAGGGGAAGGTGCATGCTGGTGTACGCCTGTAAGTCTGTACGGTGTAATTAAAGGCAGAGCAAGAGAAAGAGCGAGAGAGCAGCGAGAGAAAGAAAGAGCGAGTGAGTGAGAGACGGACAGAGAGAGAGAGAGAGCTGCAAAGAGTCAACGAAAACAGATCCACCCGCCAAAATGGGTCTACAGGAATTGTGACACCTCCTCGGGGAAGGGCCAGCCAAAAGCGGCGCCAACCTAAGGATAAATATTTTCCTATTTTCCTCGTGAGTCGCATTCCCCGTCACAGGTGGCCCTCCGAGAAGAGAGAATGGCCCAAAAAAAGCGATGCCCCGTTCTCCTCCTCTCTTTTTTGGTCTTTGAGGTCTGATAGAGCCGACGGGAGGTCTCCGAGATCTCTATTCTACTCAGCCACTCCCCTTCACGATTCACTTATAACGAAGAGCACGAGCGAGAGAGGGAGAGAGAGCGAGAAAGAAGATGAAGAGTAAAGCGGGGCGGCCAGTCTATAGGTGTTCCCTAGAAAAATAGGCAGCGTGATCATACAGCGTGAAAAACCGGCTGTAAAGCCAGAACTAGAAAGCTAGCTCATAATACTAACAGAGCTTCGAGACCAAAATACCGATCGTACAGTACATTAAGTCTAGAGAATTTCGAAACTTCCTAAAAACACCAACGATCAAAAAACCCCATTTTTTAAAAAGGTCGACGTCAAAGCCTCAAAAGTGAGAATCCGAAAATGGCGATGGTTGGCTTAAAATTCGGTATTTTTCGGTTTTGCCCTTCAGCCCTCTCTTCTTTTCGGGACTTTTACATACTTTTTCATTATATTTTTGTTTACAACTTGTCGGTATTTTTTGGAATGTTAAACTCCGGAGTTTTAATTGCCGGCATTTGCTGCAAAAGTTTTTTACTCGTGCCCGGAGCAGCTGTCGGCATTTTTCGGGGTGTGAGGGTGGTGGTGGTGGGGTCAGCAGGGGGCAGGTGAAGCTGCGTGAAAATGGCATGTCAAGAAAAATGCTCCAACTTATCGTAAGAAAACATAACAGAAGTGCTGTAACCTTTCCGGTCTATTAGGTGGGTATTAGGAGGGTAAAGCGGAAATGCAAAAGCGTGCCGTTCTTTATAATATATTGGGGGGGAAGAGCTGGATGATGGATGGAGTAGATGGTAGTTGATCCCACTCTCTCTCACACTCCCGCGTCTCTCTCTCTCTCTCTCTCTCTCTCTCTCTATCACCTGACTCATGGGGTGATGGGGATTAGGGAAGAGCTCCCAGAATGAAATATTATGAGCGGGAACGGCTGGTTGCGGCCAACGAATGGCAACGCATTCCGGAAAACACAGACCCAACATAGGAGCAAATTACGAAATATGGATACCTCAATGAATTTCTGACAGAGTACCCACCAAAAATCAGTAAATTCCGCGTCAAGCCCAAATGGATAAGTGGTAGTACCTTAGACTACCAGGCGAACGACCCGGGTTCGACCCCTGCCCGCTGTGGAACTTCTTGCTTTTGTCAAAAAATAAAAGGGACAGGCAGGGTAGCCAAAAAATCCAGAGTAGCCCACTCCCCATACCTTTAATGGGACGTGGAAGAGCCGAAATCGACCTTTTCAGCGCCTAGATCATGACAGGTCTGCGTGACACCAAGAACCCATAAACGAAGCAAAAGCTCTGCAAAATGCATAGGCGAGAGGGAAACAGGACGGTCTAGATTCGTTTTTCGTGGGGCGCGTAGTTGTCTAGAACTA